AAGGCCAATATTGGATTCCTCTGGGCCCAGAGCCCAACAGAGAGCAGGTGTGTAGCTCCTGGTGAATCCTTTGCTGCTGTCCCCTCCTTGGGTCCTGGCCTGTTGGGATGCCCTCCTCCTTGGCTGCCCCTCTCTGCACCTACCACATTGATCCCCAGGGTGCCCCGGATGTCTCCAGGCGTGACCCCGTACAGCAGAGCAGCCCCCACAGTGGCCCCTGCCAGTTGGGCAGCCACATAGGCCACAGCTCGGGGCAGGGAGATGTGGGAGCCCACGAGGAAAGCCAGGGTCACAGCAGGGTTGACGTGGGCTCCGCTTGCCTTCCACGTGATCTGCACAGCCATGGCGGTGGCCAAGTTGAAGGTGATGGCCACCTGCAGCACGGAGGGCAGTGCCGAGGGCCAGTGCAGCACCGAGCCCACGCCGAAGAACACGTACAGCCCTGTGGCCAGGAATTCAGCCAGCAGCGCCTTGATGAAGGCCGTCCAGAGCCGGCACAGCAGCATGCTGGCCCAGGCCCCCTGTGCGCGGGCTCCCAGCCTTCCTCCGCTTGTCCCTGCCCTCTGCTGACGCTGGGCCTCCACCTGCAGCCCCTGTCCTCCGCTGCTCCAGGAGGAATGTGCTGGTCAGCCTCCCCGGGAGCTGGCAGATCGGTCTGTGTCTGGGTGGAGGCAGGTGTGGGGTGGCACTCACATGCCTGACAGGTGAGCTGGAACCTCTAGGATCCCCAGGCTGGACCGGCCTCTTCGGGCTGAGTCCCTGTCCTGGGTTGCAGGTGAAGGAGCAGATGGGGCCACCCCAAGACCCTCAGAGTCCAGGGGCCTCAGCTTTCTGCTCTGAAGCCCCCTTGTTTCCAGCTCTGCCTCCGTCTACGTGGGCATAAACCCAGGTCGGAGAGGAAGCTTTTGCTTGCCTTTCCCACCTACAACCCCTCACCCGGAAAGCAGCCGTGGACTGAACAAGCACTGCTGGGCAAGCGGGTCTTATTCCACAGCCCCTCGGCCACTCTGAGTCTCATGCCTGGTGGTGGGCACCTCTGTCCTTAAACTGACTAAGCCCCCATCCCCCCGGGAGTCCCTGCCGGTCCTTTATCCTTGGTCCTTCGCCCAGCTTCCCCATCTCTCCTGCTCCCACTCAGGAGCCAGAAGATAGCCTTCATTTCTCACAGGGCAGCTTCACCACGTGTGGCCACACTGGCCTACAGGGTCACCCATGCCCTAGCCCCCAAGAGCACATCAAGACACTGCCCTTGAAGTCTTCGCCTTCTAACACCCTGCTGGCTGTATCTATGGGTGGCCAGTAGGTGTCCGCTGATGGCTTTGGGCTCCTCGAACACCCATGTTATAAGATGTGGCTCTCCCTCCTCTGCCTGACACCCCCTCCTTTCTCCAGCTCAGCTGGTGGCAGATGGGGAGCAGCCTTGACCCTTCCCCACTTCCTACCCCCATCCAATACAGCCATCAAGTCCTGCTGATTTTGAATCCTAAAAATGTCTTGCCTGTGCCCGCCCGCAGCCCCTGCAGCTTCCGCGTGCATCTCTGCCTGCTCCGCTCCAATCAATTCTCCACACTGCAGCCTCCGTGATCTTTCTAAAATGCAAATCTGATCATGTTGCTCCCCTGCCAAAACCCTTCAAAGCTTCCCAAGCCTGTTGTAAGCTCCCAGCCCCCCTGTGACCCGACCCCATCCCCCCACCTCACTTCTCCCCCACTCCTTGCCTCAACCTTGCCCCTCTAGCCAGTGGCTCAGGAATACTCCATGCCCATCTTTCCTGGGGGGATGCTGCTTGGTGGCTCCCCACTGTCCCTCAGGCTCAGTTTCTGCACCAACTGCCTTGGCTGGGGGTGAGTGGGGGAGCCCTCTCTGATGTTCTCACTGCATCTGCCCCAGCTTTGTGCTGCAGCCTCTTCAGGGCACTGCCCAGGGGCGAGGTCCTTAGTGGGCAGGGAACCACTTCTCTTCCTGCCTAGCTGGAGAGTCTGGCAACAGGGACTGGTCATTAAGTGTCCCCCTCCGGGGTGGCTTGATCCCACCCAGAGGCACTTCAGGCAACCTGCTTCTGAAAGCTCACAGCCTGCAAACTCCACGGGCCACATGGGCTCGCCCTACATGGTGTCAGCAACTGACAACAGCAGCAAAGTACTCAGTAAGTGTTTGCCAGGTGGGTACACGGGTATATTGGAAGATGAATGGATGGATGAGTGGGTGGGTGGGTAGATGGATGGATGGGTGAGTGGATGGATGGGTGGGTGGGTGGATGGATGAGTGGGTGGGTGGTGGGTGGTTAGATGAATGGGTGGATAGGTGGGTGGGTGGATGGATGAGTGGGTGGATGGATGAGTGGGTGGTAGGTGCACAGGTGGATGAGGAATGAGAGCCAGAGTCAGGTGACTGTCAGAGGTGCCTCTGTAGTGGACTACTCACACACAGCTCCCACCGAGCCCTCTGATGTCTCCAAGGGAAACACCCTGGCTTCATCCCCAGGCTCTGCCCATCCACCCAGCCCCCTGTCTCCATCTCAGGGAAGCCCCTCTCGTATCCCCTTTGGGGTCTTCCAGCCCTTCTGGCTACACCCCCCGTCTCCAGCCAGACCCTCTGGTGTCCCCCTTCAGCACACTCTTGCTAGCACCCCACTCTTCTCTCTCCTCCCCCACATCCCACTCCCACCTAGTCTACACTGTCACCCTGATGGGCCACCACCTCTGGCCTCAGCAGGGGCCTGGGCTCTGCTCAGCAGTCCTCAGTCCCTCCCCCATCAGCTCTCTCCCTTTCTTCTGAGCCCGACTTCAAACCTTCCTGCCAAGTACCTCGTCAAATGTCTGCCTTTTCTCTCATCAAATGTCTGCCTTTTCTCTCCGCAGCCGAACATGCCTCATATCCCACCCAGAAAGCCAAGGCAGTAGGCCAGGCTCCTTCCCCGGCTGCCTCCCAGGTATGGACTCCCGCCTTCACCACCGCCCTGCCTTGTGCTCTGAGAGCCACTGGAATGCCGGAACACTTCCTTGGCCGTGAGCAGTGTCAGTGGTGAGTTTCCCTGCCTGGGCTCCTATGCCTGGGGCCACCAGTGGAAAAAGATCAGCTGGTGGGCTTGGCATCCTATGGGCTGAGGTTCCCCTGCACTTGGCCTTCCCTAAGGTGACCAGATGTCCCGCTTTTGGCGGGACAGTCCCAATTTTTAACAATTTTCCCCACGTCCCGCGACATTTTTAAAAAGTCCCGATTTTTGGAAAGAATGCACGACAAGCTAGAGTATACGGTTTTCGGCTGCCATGTGGCTATTTCGCCAGGATGTGTTTTATCAATGGCGTCCTGCTTTTGTCCTGCTTTACCAATGTTAAAATCTGGTCACCTTACCTTCCCACATGGCCAGTTGATGGAACTGCTGTGGCCAAGGCAAATGGTGACCTCTGCAGCCAACTGTGGCGGGGGCACTGCCGACCAATTTCCCTAAGATCCTCTTTCCTGACTGAGGAGACTTGGGCATCTCTTTTCCTGGTACTCTGCCTGCCTTTGATGGCTTTTGCTCGGTCTCCTTGCTGGCTCCTCTCCTGCTCTTGTAAAGATTTGCAGTTTTGTGAGCACACAGGAACAGTTCTCAACTGTCCTACAGGGTCACTGTGGGTTGGCATTGAGTGTGAGTTAGGTTTTGAGTATGAGGTAACCGGACTGGTTCACAGGAGGTCAATCACATCTGGGTCCAAATGCCATGGATTAGAATTGGCCTCCTCTCTATCGGATGACAGCTGTGGGGTCTAGCTGGGGTAGGAGGCAGCTCCAGGACAAGGAGCCTCTACACCCCTGGTCCCCAGCCAGCCTGAAACATAGTCCCCTAGAGCCCTGTCTGGCCTGGGACAAGGTCCTTCATGCCCAGAGGCCAGGTGGGCATCAGCCAGGTCTTGCTCCAGCCCTGGATTAACCTGGCCCAGCCAGCGCCTTCCCAGACCCAGCCAGTCCTGGGCTCTGAGCCTGGGGCTCACTCATGCTCAGAAACCCATGTCCCTGGGGCCCAGACCTGGCTGCCTATGGCAGAGGCCTGTCAGGAGCTGTGCTGCTCCTG